TGTTTTTACACGGAGCAGTATGGAAACACCTAATGTTCAGTTTGTAAGTTCCCGACACACTGTGGTCACGGTCAAGAATATTTCAACAAAGATGAAGCAGCTTTGTTCTACGTCCTGCACAGCTGTGTTCACAGGATCACAGTCCTTCAGCACTCTCCCGGTGCTTTGCAGTATGAAAGCTCATGTGTTTGTCAGTGTGTATTCGTGTGCATGAATGTAGCTCCACAGTGTGTGTTTTGGTCTCTTACCATGAGCAGCTGCAACAGCAGCACCAGCAGAAGCAGCAGGCATTGGGCCGTTGGGAATTCTGGGTAGTGGTCATACCCCGTCCCCCTCCCGTCCCACTCAGCGCTGAGGTCTCGCTGCGACCTCCCCCCATGGCCAGCTCGCCCCCTCGCTCGGCCGGGATCGGACCTGTGTACTGTACACGGAGAGGGGTCGTGAGATTTCCACTATCATTTACTGACATGAAAGTAACCAAACACACAACAAGTTCAAGTCCTGCATTCAAAATCCTGCATTAAAGATGGATCGTGGGACTTTTACATGTAGACAAACATCTGTTGCATTCAAACGAATTCCCACAGAGCTGATTAGGTCTATCAGCTCCACATGAATCTGGCTTTATTTTGCAGAATATCAGTGAAGAGACTCCAACAGAACTGTACAGCGATAACAAGTACAGTAGAGGCTGTGGAGGAAAAACCTACAAGGTGTCGAGGAAAAGTTTCTGATGCTCCACATGAAAAAGAAACGTCACAGGAAGAATACCAGTCCAAGAAAAGAAAGCAGCGGCTGACAGAAACACCATACAATGTAAGCGTGCATCAACAATGTATGTACAGTTGCTTCCACTGCCAGCAGGGGGAGACACTGTAGGTTTAAATAAAACTTCATATACTTTAAGTATTATTCTGTCACATTTTTATTCACTATGGGTTCAAAATGAAGTCCTGCATTTCAATGGAAACATCACAACTATGGCTAGAAGATATACGTTGTTTGTTGCTGTATGACAAAGTGATAATACAGTAAATCACAACAAAACGGTAAAGAATGAAAGTTTTACTTCTTTACTTTGCAAAAATTGTGTTAAAGATGGTGGCTCTACATAAAATAGAACATTTACTATTTACGAATATGTCGAGTACAGAGTTAGTAGTAGTTTTTTCACAAAATCTTATCAATAAAACCGTTTTTAATTTATTTTTTTTCTCAGTTTCTGGCTCTAATAAACTTTGGTGGTGTCTCTAAAAATAACATGTCTTTTAACATTATAATTTTTTAAATTAAATTCTTTTATGCAGAAAATCAGATCCTTCAGAGGTCTAATTGGCACCGTTTTGTATGATATAGAGTATTATTTTAGCAGATTACTACAGAAATGAAGGACACACAGCATCTTACTGGTGTCTCCTTTAATCACTACAGACTTTTGAAACTTGACTCTGGGCTCCAAACCAAAAGCGTTGCATGAATCAATTAATCCTCAGTTCATTTTGAGACAGTACAACTTTGTAAACCACACAGCAATCCCAGAAAAGTGTGTCAGCATCTATCTGCATTTTTTATTTTTTAACATACACCATGTTTATTTCTCTCAGTGTTATTTGGGAAAGCTCAATGAACTTCTGCTCTTAATTAATGAGTTTTAGGTCAAACAGGAGGATACGACAGCTTCACCCAGAGGAATATTTTTAAGAACAAAACAGCTAAATGAAAGTGAGACGGTAAAGGAAAAGGAAATATTCCAACACACAGCAGAGAAACGTGTATAAATACTGAGAAACCTGAGCTCTCGCCACACCACTGCTGTGTGACGGAGGCTAAAAATGGTCATCACGTGACCGCCTTTGTTTACAGTGATCACACGGAGGTAGCACAGTTAATACGGCAATCATGTGTGTCAATGCTACACAGCAGTTTGTCCTAATGGACGGTGGAGTTCACAGCGAATTATTTCAAGAGGAAAGCTTCGAGATTTTAATGAACTGTTATTTTTTTTAAATTTTAAAATCTATACATAATGTTAAACTGCTTTGGCATCATTATTTTCAGTCCTGCCAGACAGTCGTCTACACACTCATCAGGAAATACTGGCAATAACAGTAATAATAACTGTAAACTAATATGGAAGCGAGAGGAGAAACAGAAAGTAGAGAAAACAGAGAGAGTTATCAGTAATGAATGAAGAATCACAAACTTCCGTGACTCGAAGGCACGCCTTTGCAGCGCCTTGAGGTTTGTGAAATAAGCCTGTTTCGTGTTCTCTTTTTATTCTACTTAAACAATGTAAAATACAAAATGTGCAGATGCAGAAAAAAAAAACACGTGACCTGACAAGAGAAATATATGGGTTGGGAGACACAGAGAAAAAACTGGGAGGGTACGGACGGAGCAAAACGATCAAGAGATAGCAGATGACAAGAAAGAGATTATAGCATAAAAGAGGAACAAGAGAACAGCGGATTTACAAACTTGAGTGAGGGAATCCAAGAAGAGAGACATCGTGTAGAATAGGGGAAGTGAAAGAGAGCGGGTATGGAGACAGACCAGGCAATGTGATGCATCATGTGATGGAGCTGTGATCACACACACACACACACA